GGTATTAGAGCTCTCTCGGTTGAAACCATTCTAATCTCATCTCAATTTTATTTAATAACATTTCAAAACATACATACCTGTTTGTTAGATGCTGTTCTAAATTATTATTTATAATATTACACAATTTTTAACAACTTTCTTCCATATTTCATGTTAGATTGATTTTATTAAAAATTGTAATTTTAAATCACAATATATAAGTAGTACGATATACGCAATGATTTCACGTTTAGTACGTCTTAATCCATACACATTTTATCCCATACATCGATATTTGGCAAACTGGCTGCGTGCGTCTGACAGAGGGAATTCGAGAGTGTGAGAGTACGAGAACCCGAAGCCCTTCGGGTTCACTGTCAGGGCAAAAGAGATGTCACTGTAAGCGTCACGGTTTGCTGGTTAGGAAATGGCCAGATTTTTCTACATCCTTCCTGATCATTATTATTATTATTATTATTATTATTATTGTTTTTGTTGTAGTTTGTTGCATTAAAAATTAGAAAGAGCGGGCTTGGGCCAAACCATTGTACTTGATATTGCTAGAAAATGGAAAATGTGACCCGAAAATGCTTGAGAATACTTGAAATGATAAAATGTTATGTGAGCTGAAGCTCTGTTATTTCAAGAATCGGGAAAAGTGCCACGGTAGGTGTGACGCAAGAGAAGCACAGCCAATGCACATTTTATGCAATAAAAACAAAGGAATGCGTAGCGCCCTATGTTACTTAGACCCAGCATCATACAATAATACAGCTAAAACAGGTATTCTTATGAGTTTTTGGACAGGGAACACACATTTCTATGAGGTTTTTGTTGTTTAACTTGAAGTACTAATCGATATTTCTATGTATCATGTCCAAGAAAGGGCAAGTCAGGCTATCAAAATGTTTTCTTAAGAGATTGATAATGACAAAAAAGGTTATCGTTAATACTCCTAAAACTTGTTAAAACTCCAGAGGTGTCATACTAATTATGTGTAACTTACAGAATTAGTTTTCGAAAATAAAGAATATCTTTATAGAATTTTAAAGCAATTTTTTGAGAATACCTATTAGAAATATAATCATTGACCAAAAGCAGATTTGTAATGGTTACAATAATACAAGTCAAGTGTAGAATAATATTGACAATATTTGTATTTTTGGTCAATAAGTTAGTAAATCTTATTTTTCTGATGTTATTTCAGTATAGTGAAAATACCAAGGTTCGTAATTTAGAAAAAATATATGTTCAACAAAATATATTTTTATTACCCTCGACTTTGAAGTATACAAAGAGAAATAAAGGATATGTTTTGCGGTAATAAAAAGAGATAAACAAGTGAAGTTAATCATTAAGAAAGAGAAGCTCGAGACCATATATCTAAAGGAAGTTGACTATTCACGCCGGACGCATGTGTCATTCCGCAACAAAGAACAGTATTTTTTCTAGAAACTTCAGTACAACTAAGGCAGGATTCTAAGACCCAGATAGGAGATAAAACAGAAGACTATCTTGTGCACTAGAATGTACCAATTTAATTTATTTTAGAACACAATAAATGAAAAATCTACACTAAATTTCGAACATTGATAATTGATGTAAATGTCAACTAAACACTCACCATTCACAACACATTCACCATAGCGTCAAACTAATGAAAGGAACAAAAAATGCTCTTTCTTCATGAAAAAAAGGATTCAAATGAGATAAGGAGACACAAAAAGCATCGCATTATAACTTCTCTCATGTAAATATCTAACTTTTCAGTCATGTTAATTGATTGGTCATCACGAGCTACTTGGACCCTTAGGGTACTACTAGAACCCACGCGAAAAAAATGTTTTCACCTTTTGAAGCCGCTTATAACTAACGAGGTATTTTGCAGTTGCTTCCGTTCCATGGCAACATAATACAACATTAAATGCATTTGGCAGAGTTCAGTGGTGCATCTGTACGATACAGCAGTCTTAAGTGTCTAGTTTCGAAATTGGAAGTATTTGGACTTCGCAAATTTTTATCTTTATGCTGTATTTTCAAGATAGTAGATCAAGAGAGTAGAGAAGTTTACATTTTAGTAATTATATATTTCTGAATATAGCTGCAATGGTAACTTTGTCATTAGTAGAACGCAAAATTTCCCGATATGTTAAGATTTTCTTATTTTGAGCACGTAATCCACCTTTTTTGGGCCAATGCAACTTTCTTTTTAATATGCCAATCGTTTATTTCGATATTGAAAACTTCAACAATGTTTTCTCTTGCTTGTTCGATAATCTGATCGTTATGGTACACAAATAAAACAAAGCCCTGAAGTCGGAAATGTAGGGATTGTACGGACCATTAGCATGAAAAATGTTTGGCTGCAATTCAGTCGGAAATAATGTCAGAAAGACAAGCTGAAGCTTTCTTTAAAAAATCAGTCTATAAGGAGATTGAAGAATAAATCCTTTCAGAAACCGGGCCATCCAAAAGTGTTTACTGAAGTAACAGAATTAACATTTGCAAGTATTCTTGACTCAATCTGTAATTTGGGATTTTCTGTTGATGAACTCGATTTCATATGTATTGTAAAGTATTACTTACTACGCGTGGCAGAATTGGCAATGCTTTTAAAGATAATCTCCCAAGTCGGGATTGGGTGAAATTATTTTTAATTAGGCTCTCACTGTAAACGAAAAAAAAGGATAATAAATATTGTCTCTCATATTGAAGTTATCTTCGTATTTGTAGTATATTTACGTTCTTGTTTGTATCAGAAAATCTAGAAAGTACACAGACTCGTGAAAATCTTAATGGTTTTATATAAGAAAACTTCACATGGATTCATGTAGCCCGTACACCAGTGTAACGTATACCCAAGTTTCAAAAAAAATCTATGCGCTTTGCATTTAATGTTACTTTTCAAACGACTCCACAGAATTTTACAATAAGCCTCTAGATTGATAGGAACACTTATAAACGTGTTTTGTTTAGTTTTTCATGGATTGGTAAAGAACAAACTGAGAAAGAATTGAAAATTTGGGTCGAAGTAGCCCGTGTTTACGATATAATTGTTTTCAAAATAGTAGAAAATCTGGCTTTAAACATAATTGATCCCAAGAAGATAACAAAATACAAGATGTTTAAAGTATCAGACAATAGGAGGAATGTGAAAAATGGTGGAAATGGAAAAAGAAAATTAAAACTGATCAAATGCTTCCGCTCCAACAACTAGGCCTGTTTCCGCTCTCTTGTCAGATGTGCATATGCAAGAAAAGATGAATTCAGATTAACCTACGAATTAAAGCTAACTAAAATATAAAAATGAAAAATTTGGAGTAGTATTTTATGAGGAGTATACCAACACTTTTCTGAAGTTCCTGTTAAACGAAGTTTCAATATTGAGAATTTTTATCACAATGATGTGAGATAGTAAGACTCAAATTTTTCTTTGGCATTATCCAGCAAAATGTTTTCGTTCACAGTATCAATATTCTTTCAATGATTTCAAAGTTAAAATGTTAATTTTCCATCTCATACATTATCTTAGTTTTACTCCTGGTAACAAATATACACTTGCAACGCCTACCTTTTCCAAAATATTATCTGGAATATCTGAACGTTTCTCCAAAATCTTACTATGTGGATCGTTTCTCATCTGAAGAATAAACATACATTTGTTTAAATCTCTGTAGACACATATCACAAATTCATTGTTCCGATCTCAAACCGAAAAATTACAGTTGTTGTTGACTTAGCCCAGCGTGCAGTGGTTTAATTTTTTGCGATCAACATTTAATGCATTTTACAATTTTAATTGAGCGTTGTTAAAAAAGGAGGTAAAATGAGTATTGCATCGTCGGTTATTTAAATTAAAATTAAATATATAAGTGTATTTCTCAATATTTTTGTCAGTAAACGCATCAAATCAATAGAAATGTCTCATAAGTGAGCTTTAAGCCCTCTGCTTCTTCTTGCTTAATAGAGTCATCAAATGTTTATCTAAAATCCTGCCACAACTATTACTCCTTTCAAGTAGGCTTAGATTTGACTCATGAAGTTATGATATTGTTTTTAGATTATCTTCGATTCTACTTAACCTAGGATATAATAATTCTCCCCTAATCATTACTTGTTGTTTAAGAGTATGTTTTAGGTTAATGTTAACGAATAAAATTCACAAAAAAATATTTAATATTACCTAAACTTATATTAGCACGGGTACTTTTTCTATAAATCTATGAGAAACCGTGTTTTACTCCGGTCTATAACACTTGCATGTAAAATTTGTTCTCTTATTTTATAGATACTTTTAACCTTAGCCATAACTCACGACACAGTTGTACCTTTGTTACGAATAACGATATTTCACTATATCCCATCAGTATCAATCCATTATCCCGAATTTCGGCACCAATTGTTAAGGCATCGAAATACTCTGAGAGGTTGCCATTTGATGTGAGAGCAATTAGAGGAAATCAACTTTCACTGTTGCATTCCGAATACTAAAAGTGCAAATTAGTTAAAGTGTACTTTCCGTCCTTCGAAAATTCACACACGTCGATCATTACGAAACCTTCAATCATCGGAAACCTCCACAATTGTGACCTCCATTCATCACATACAGTTTTCACTATTCTTTAACGATAAATAAATGAAATTTTAAATTACTTTTAGCCACTGCGAGCTTAATGCTCGGAAGGCGAACTGTTCACTATGCAAAAATATCGTGTGATGTAATTTGTGATGAAACTAATAAGACATAAAGAAAATAAGAAATCAATTTACATCTACAATTCTAATTATTCAATATTCAGAATTTAACTTGCAACTCTTCAATAGCGTGACTCTCCGAAACCGATAAAATGCAGAACAACTGCTTGCTTGCGATATCGGTGGAAGCGATGTTTCTTTGTCTAATACTTTATTCCCTAGACGGAAACCGGAGGGCGAGGAGGCTCTCTCCTTAATGTTGATGTTACTTCTTGTTCCAAAATCGAACTCCTGTGCAAAATAATATAAAATTGATTATTTTACAGAACTCTCTGTGAACATGACCTGCAAAGATAATAACGAATGCAATGCAAAGAAACATCTAACTTGCAACGTTTTAACTGGAAGATGCACGTGTATGAATGGCTATTCTCCAATGGGTCCGACCTCCTGTGGAAAGAGTAAGTAAATGAGGAGTCTCGTAACAACCAAAACATTTCATTGTCTTGTTAATTATGTGAATTACAAAATTCTGCGATGATTTGAAGAAAATATAGCAATTAATAATAAAATTAGTATTGTTTTGAAGCTAGATCCCACTGTGCCCATTACCGTAGCCAAAACTTAAAAAATTTAGTTTGTTGGCACTCTTCACGTAAAAAGTTCAGCTGGGTTTAGCTCAGGGCCAGTTATGCAGGGGCTCTGATGGGGGGGGGGGGGACTGGTGTTTAAGTCTCGATGGTGGTGGACTTTCGACTCTAACTACGTAGCGCATCCAGAAAGTAAGTTTTCCTATTTTGTGAAATAAAAATACAACACAGCTACACGCAAATCGTTATTAGCAAAAGGTGTAGCAAAGTGTGAGCAATTTTTAGATATGATCACAATTGAGTCACATTGTGGTATACCTGTCTCGTAGAAATGTGCTGCCTGCGACTGGAACCAGAGTGACACAGTCGTCTTCAGCTCTTCGTCGTTGTGAAAACGTTGACTGGAGAACAGGTATGTCTTTAGGTGCAGGAAAATATGAAAATTGCTGGATGCGAGATAAAGAATGTATTGAGATGATTAAACAGCTCCCAGTCGAACTTCTGCAGGACGGCGCGCTGCTGTTAGCCGCTCCATACGTGGACGCTCCATACGAGCACTGTCATCGCTGTCACCAACGACGCGCCATCTGTTTGCACATGATGTTTAGCCCGTAGACCTGACACAGTTGACGATAAATTTCTATCGGCACGACGTGTTGTGCTTTAAGGAACTTATTCAAGGACCGAACATCGAAGGCGGCGGGAGAACGAATCAGTGTCGCCACTGCTGCCGCGCTAACTCGATATTCGACGATACCTGTCCTACCGGAACATGATCGATACGTCATAGATCAGTTACGCATGTGCAATATTCCCGCCTGAATTCGTGTACTTTCAAAGCACAAAAATCGAGAAACCTACGTTCTGGATGCGCCTCGTATATGGCTAAGATGAATTTGGCGCAGAAAGCTGCTGAATTCGACATACCTATCTATCTAGTGTCGTAAATGCTACCTCCGTCAGGATTCGAACCCTAGAACGTCCCGGTCAGAGGCACTGCAAAGGGCGTGAGTCTCGAGTAGTGGGGATGAGTTGCTGGCTACTTACCGAGCCAACGCTACTTGGTGTTCGACCTAACTGCAAAGAGATTATATTTTCACATGAAAGGAAGTGGACATGTGCGGAGGGTTGGGATGTGCGGTCTCTCGCTTCTGGCTTAATGCTGAATGAGCGGAGCTGCCTTCAGACACACTATCGCCCTCAACGGCAAAGTTAAAAACCACTCGCGGGCACAATAGCGTCTTTAGGTGAATTCAGACATATCGTATCTGAACACAACGTATCGTAATGCGAGACTGTCATGTGACGGCTCACCGTAACGGCAACATAGCGATGTCGGATCGTCCAACGGAAGCGTTCGGCCATCCAAAGGAAGCGTTTGTTGGAATGTTCTGATTATGCGGTTACGATGTTCCGTCTATATTACACAAGACGCCTTTGCGTTAAAATACAATGTTACAGTAACTTTTTTGTGGGATATTGCAGGCACCTCGCGCGACCTTTAACATTGCCATTCTCTGTGCTACTGCTGAAAGTTAAAATTCACAATAGTATTTATATTTCCTTTCTGTTCTCTTTTTCAGCGCACAGCGCCTAGTTGTTTTTGGTTTGAGTTCATGATACATATTAATGAAATAAAATCATCACAAACTATAGTACATTAATCTACATTTTACCAACGATCATGTGTAAAATTTGTTTTTATTTTTTATCAGAATTAGGTGACGTGTGTGATAGAAACTGCGACGCGCAGAACTCTCGCTGTAAACTGGTGGGAGACAAATACATATGCGTGTGCGAAGAAGGCCTAACTGCCAGTACTGATGGAACATTCTGTTACGGCAGTAAGTAGATTCCATAAATTTTCAGTAAGTTTTGCATTTACTTCTACACGCTTATTATTATATATCTTAAGGGTGCTTGTTTGAGAATTGCGAGAATCAATAACACTAGCTGTAATGAAAAGTTTCGGGTGTTTCAAATGTGGCGCCCTGCAACACCACCGTGTCCATATGTTTGCAAAGTACTAACAACTGAATCACGCTTCGCTGTAAATGATTTTACTTTCTATACTTTAGCGTTATTTATGATTTATATCAGTTCTTCGCGCCTACCTCCGAATATTCAAATATATAAATGAGATGTCACTACCTACTCCTTTACTATGCTTTAGGTTGGCAATGATCAATAATGAAAAAATAAATAATTTCATTAATCACTTTATTTCATTATTTGATTTCATTTTTTGATTTTTAATAACTGAATAAAATAAATGATTGCAGACAGTAATTGATAGCCTTCAAAACTCAGTTAGGAAATATAACCCTATATTCGATTCCTTGTCTCTCAACGTGAGAAATTGCGAAGCGAACGTAGGAAACTTAATTTTCACTTTTAGCGCTCATTCTCACAGGAGCACTTGTAACACATTCTATTTGTGACATATGAACAAAGTATTTCAGATGTTGATGATCAACGTTTTCAATATTCTTAAGAGATGTCCAGGTCTAACGATATCCTTTCCAGCCATGAAATTGGTACTTTTGCAGCACACTGTTTTACACAACAAGTAATTAAATAGATGTTTAACTATACAATTGGGCTGATGTTGCTCGGCAGCAGAAAGCAGGAACATGAAACTATAAACCATTACAATTTTTTTACAGTAAATTATCCTTTGTCCGTACCTACCACATACTGATGGCATTTACATTTATTTGTTCATACACATTTACACAAAAATACATACATACATATACATATAAACTTAAAAAAGTCTGTACCTATGCTCGCATAAGCACATTCAAACAACTAGGGATATATTTTTACATAACACCACAATATAATAATATACAATTTCTTTAATTTTCATTTTTATCTCGTGAAACCTCCAAAATAAAGAGCAATAAATCAAGAATATCAACGTACATTAAAATAGCGTAGCAAATAAAAATCTTACTAGAATAGCAATAACAAAGAGGAAAACACAGAGAGGGCGAAAAAACACTTTCGCATAGCTTCATTGTTCCGCTAATCACTTAATCAAAATTGTTCAATACTTTGATCTGTAGTCTACACACTACAGATACTACATTTCAAATCACTTCCACGACTCGTTTTAATACTATTGAACATTATCCTATCGTGATAATGCTTGATAAAACTGATAAATTTCATATCATGATAATTCCGATTGTGTGATAATGGGCTGAACTATTGGCACAGTGCCGTCAACCAAACGAAAGTATTGTCCGAGAGTATAATGTTTTTATAGGGTAGAGGCTTCACAATACTTAAAATGACACAAATCTGCGACTTGGAACAAGCATTTTTATATTTCATCCGTACGAAGGAGTAAATATGCTTGTTTCTTCGTTACAAACTAACGATTGCGGGCGGGGTTGGAACCTAAGAATCCTATATCGATACACTTACTATTAAATCATAGATGCGGCGTTTTAAAACTAGTTTTATATTTTAAAATATCTTTTGAATAATATGCTTATTTATGAGTCCGGAATATTATGATATGGAATAATAATGTAATGCATTTACTTATTTCTCTGCATTCAGAGCCCTTGATGTTTGAAGACGTTTGCGACCACAGTGCAAACTGTACAGATGTTGGAAGTCGAGTAATATGCAAAAACTTTGCTTGTGTTTGTGAAGAAAATTATGTACGGTGGCACGGACAATGCCTAGAAAAGATAGGTAAGTACAAACTATTGCTCTTGGAGAGAAAAATCAAGAGTCAAATTCTATGGCTAGTAAGTTAACCTTAAGTTAATATAGAAAACCACGTAAGTATTTTAATGTGTACACAATATTCTGCATTTCGAACTACAGTGGCCAGTTGATGATAAATACATGTTAACCATGTAAAAATGACAAAAAAAACACAAAGAAAGCAGTGTAAAAATGTATAGTACAGGATAAAGCTAGTAGTATTGCAGAATAGCATAGTTTTTCTAATACTACAATATTTCCTAATCTCTTTAGTTTCAGCTACATTTTCGGTTTTGTCCCTTCCACTCCGGCGGCTGCCTAACAGTGTCTAAAATATATTTTCGCAATTGTTTGGTCCCCTAATTGTAGACTGGAAATATGACTTAAAGTATATTAAAGAAGAGTAAAATCTGGTCTATATTCGAATTTTCATTGGAAAATATTGAACCGTTTTTGAGAAAATGTGATTTTAGCTATTCAATTTTAAGCTCATTTCCACAACAACTTCACAGTGTTCGAGGAAATACATCAGAAATAATATGAAGTACTTATACTCACAAATGCTATAACATATCTTTAAAAAAGATCATAATGTTCCACTTTTTAATGACGTGAGAAATATTAAAACTAGTGGTGTTACAACAAAAACTCGTTTTTCTCACTACGCAAAAACTACTTGTTAAAAAAAGATGATACCTTTTACAGAGAGATGATTTTTTACAACAGACCTATAGGCAAAGACCTATATCTTCAAGCTTGCACTTTCGTTAAGATCGATCAGGGATATCAATTTGGGAGAAATCAGCGGAACAGTTTAGGCGCTAGTGTTAACCACAATTTGATAGACAGACGTTTCGTCATCAATCTTTTTTTAGGTATCAAAGACTCACAAACTTTGGATTCTGGCTACATCACGTGCTAGACAAAGTAATTTACGATTCGTATATACCAACAAAATTTATCCACTTTTTCGTAACGAGGACCCGGCAATAAAGGTTTTTTCTGTCCTAAAATTCACCGTGTTCTGGAACACGATAACATAACTTCCTCTTCTTATGAAGTACCTTCGTAACGGCGAGAAAGTGTAACTTACTATTTTTTGAAGAATTAAAAGAATTCACTAAAATTACATCTATTTTGTGTTATTCAGTGCCTTCAGCACTATCTGTACCTAACGTTTAAAGTAAAGTTATTAATTTTGTATCGTTTTTGAGAAAATCTTATTGTTAAAATTGCCCATATTTAACGCAATATTTCTTGAAAACTAATTACAATGTGTTAAAAATGCAGATAAAATTAAATACAGACTTAATTGTGGAGAACAATTTATAATAAACGAAAAAAACTGTACCCTCCATACGAGGAAGTCGAACAAATTTCAAACTTTTGAACTCTTTTAAAATTATGAGTTAACTGTGAAAATTGGATCTACTCCATATTTAATACTCCCAAACGTTTTTCTTTCGAAACCGGCCGTCCATCCTTGCATTTATCGTCCAAACGGCCTTTCACCCATTCGTCCACCCCTCTGTCCATATGCCTTTCCATTTTAATTGTATGTAAGATTTTCTCCAAAACAAATATTCTCTATTCGATCTGACCCGACTTCATACCCTGCGCTATTGAAAAGAATTCTTTCAATTTTCGGGGTAGTTTAAGAATCCCCTGGACCTTTTTTAAAAAAATTCCAAAAAACATATCAAATTTTTCTTTAAATTTCTTTTAAGGTTTGAGTGAAATTCACTTAAACAAATGGGGTAGGTCAGAATTTCATTGTTCACTCTATTGCTCTAAATTTTCAAAAATTACAAAAGTTTCAAATTTTTTCCACCTCTCCCTACAACTACATAGCAGAAAGTAGGTATTATTTTTGCATATGAAGATTGTTGTCAACATTTTATCAACTTGTTAGTAGTTTCCGAGCAATTTTGAGTGAAATATGTTATATAATATTTTGAAAACAAGATTATGTCCAAAACGCCCCTCCGGAGTCAGGTTTTATACTCTCGTCCGGTCTCGCGACTCGCGTGGTTGTGTAGTGGGACTAGGTGTGCGTACATATACGGGAACAATGATGTAGGAGGGGACAGTGATGAGGAAGGAAATATTTTGCGCGGTCCTTGAATCGTTTGTTAAGCTACTGAGAAACTACCAATGAGAGCAGTTCTTACCTTAATTTCTCCTTCAGGGGTTGAATTCGACCTAGCTATATGGATAGTGTCAAAAATCTACCACTGTCGGTTCATAAACCCTAGGTCATTTCGGTCTGCGACGCTAACGAGGCAAGAGCAAGCCTGTCACGGAACCAAAGCAACCGTCAACAGAAATTGAAACGTACACAAATCCAAACTTCAATTAGCACTAAAAAACACATATACTATTGATTTCATTCAAAAATTCTTCTTCACTAAATTCTCCTGTCAGTACTACTTACAAAGTGGAATTTTTAGCTAAACGAGTCGACTGGTTTTCGGCGTGGCGCACACACTCGGTGTTGCACTTGGAACCGGTCAAAGGTATAACACTTAGATTTAGTTTAAGGTACAACACGTGGTCATAATACAAAAATCAACCCCTTTGAGGTTGAACGAAAATTTGTTTTAAACTCATAACTTTGTAGCTAAGAGAATACGTACTTTCAGAAGGTGAAAAACAGATTTATTTTCTCCTAGGAAGGCTTTGCAACTCTCATGCATTATCGCAATTTATTGTGTGTCTGTAATTAAAAGTCAGCAAAACTGTGTAAGTGGTTTAAACTACCCTAAAAGAGGTGAAGCATAAATCACCGTTGTCTATCTCATATGTCCAAGGTACATTACCTTCCACCAGGAATAAACCACTACAAGCATTCAATTTCATCACATTTGACAGTGATTCAGTGACATGAATTTTAATGAATCTTTCTTTTGCTTCCTGCAGATCGTTTGGATGTCCCGTGCAATGTAGACACTCAAGTATGCTTCAGCGAGTCGGAGAGCGACTCTGCTAACAAGAAGATTTGCTTGAATGGCTTCTGCCGATGTGTCTCTGGATTTGTGCCTCACGATGGAATGTGCAAGAAGAAAATAAGTACGTTATTTCTCAATACAAGCCAGTGCTCATTTATCATAGGGAATATCACGAATGCATTGGAAATGTCCAAATAAATGTCCGAGTCACCCAGTGACAAGTACATCGAATCGACGCTTATACCACGAATAAAATTATTCCCCCCAAAAGTCTCGCGTAAGTCGATCTGGATGGCTGAGGGGGCTAAGAGAGTGTACGGATCAGCGCTTTTGCCCGAAAAGTCCCGCCATGGGAATAATTGTTTGCCTTATGTATTTCCCTCATATGTTGTTGCGGAGGGTCGCGCTTCCCGTTGCCTTCAAATCAGAAGAGCCCGCGAGTGTATTGGTGTCTATGGTCGAATATGCCTCCCATTGGAATATACAGAGAAAGGAAACCGGTTGTCGCCTGGAGAAAGCTCTAGAAAAAAACGTTTCAGATTGCCCAAACATTAATACTGTATTTGTGTTCCAAAAGCACACGACAGCGCTTCATACGATGTATGATAAAATGCACTTTGCGATTGACCTTCTGGGAGTAGATAGCTAGAAAACGTGATATTTTGGTGGGGACACACCCTAATAACTGGCGCATACCAGATGAAAAGTTCAACACTGATTGGTGTTAATTTCACGTGTGGAGTAGACTACGTCATCTTCTTTTCTTGGTGTCAGAATTATACGGGATATTTGCAATTAAATATCCTTTCCTTATTCTGTTATGTGACTTTGACATGTGTACCACTATGTATGGTAGATCTTAAGCCTAACATTAGAAGAAGCCGATTATTTCGCACGTTATGCAAACAGTTTGGGTCGACCTAAATGAATGACAACAAACAGACCGTTTCGATCTTCGACAGACTAATGTTGACATTCGCCTCTGGGCGTTGGTGAACGTATGACTCGCCCGAATACGAGGCGTCTTGTGTGTTTGCATGAAACATTTCGGTATACAAATGCGTCGCAAATTGTGCGTTGCACAGAATCTAGGTGTTTCATTTTAGTCGGAAAAGCCGAATGTCGGAACAGTGTCATCAGATTGGAAATACGTAGCAAAGCTTCCGCTGAGTTATATGGTGAGGTTAGGTTAGCTTTTATCGTGTAAACAGAAAGTTTCAACTGACACATTCAAAGATGAAACTTTGCCCTAACTAGCCGTAGGAGCATCCTATCAGCATTATTTACCTACTTTTTAAAAGAAAGTTTCTCTGACTCTCTAGGTTATTTCAGAAGAATTTGTTTCAGAAGAATGTTCCGAAAATACTCAAAAGTTTTCTTTGAACATAATGAGAACTAGCATAGACTTCTTCGTTCTTATAAGGTTCTTATAAGATACGATAGTTTTTATTACAGATTCGAGACTGCGATATAGAGAATATCTGGAATCCAGAGATTGTAGTCCAGTGTAATTTATAACAAAGCTAAATATGGCAAAAAAAACACTCTTCAAAATTAGCTTCCTTTTTAATAAAATGAGAATTTGCATTTCAAATATTAGCCGCCATGTTTTATGTGAAGATTACCGCCTTACCAATGGGCAGCCCTCAGTGTGACTAGTCCCACCCTGGATACTCTTTCATTTCTTTAAAATGGCGATTCGAAGTGTTATCATATACGCTTCACTACACACACTTTTCCGATACCCTTCCAGGAGAATGATTTAAATATGAAAAGAAAATAAGATTAGATGCGAATAGATGATGCGTCCTAAACTGCAACTTTTTCCCGAAAATAACACAATCTAAGAAAGATTCCAATCGCCAATTTGTTAGGGTACTGCTTCAGTATTCGCCTGTTGTTGTAACCTTTCCTATCTGTGGTTGATACCAACGCTACATTCAAATAGCGCGGGCAGTGTCTTCTGCAAGAGGTCGAAAACCCGTATTTATAAATATTCTGAGATATTTGAATTGTAGTGTCCTTGCCGACCGACGCGGTAGGGAGCAACGCGGAGAGAAGGCTTTGAGACGCGTGAGAGGAAGGTCGGAAAAAGGTGTGCTATTGGGGAGTGGTGGTGAGCGTGGGAGAACAAGGAAGAGAAACGGACACTGAAGCTGCTGCATCTAGGTTTACGGGCGTCCATTTGCTTACACTACATTGCCGTGCAAGAACCGGAGGCGTATAGTCGGCGACACCAACCCGCTGACAGTCGCAAGCTTCGTGCCATTGGGTGAGGCAAGACCCCGAAAAGAGGTCGGTAATAATCGTCTTTCCTATATTTTTCCCCTTATGTTTCGCCACGAACTTGCCATGACTGCGGGAAGCATCACGTTCGCCCAGTTTGCTAAGACGGACTTTCCGTAGTGCCCCTTTAATGCGTACGTTCAGTGGCTGCGTGTCATGACATCCTCCAGTGTAAATAGCGATTAAGTAAAAAGTAACGGCAGGGAGCAACAAGTGAATGTTGTGCTGAGTGCTCAGAATGTGCAGATAACTTTAACTTTAGAAACTGTGCTTGATGTTCCCTTTTTTATTGTTGTCAAAGTGTTAAAAAAATTGTACAATTGTATTTGAATTTGTTGATTTATAATTATTGTTTTTCAAGAGAGAAGAGAAACTTAATGTTATATTGATTTTGTTACTGTACAATGAGTAATTTTTGTTTTGGTTTGTTTAAGAATATATGTATTTAGGTTTGGAAATTTTCTCGACACATAATTCCTTTTCCAAGACGAAAAAGAAAGATGCACGATCCTGTATAAAAACAACAAATGTTTATTATGACCCGGTCACACTTGTGAACGTCTAACATTTGCAAGTAAAGTTAAATAAAGTTAGTATACGGTTTCAGTGTTTATTGGAGAAAACACGGAAAACTATCGCTCAGAGCAGAAGACCGCTAGGATTCGCCTCCAGACAGCGGCTGAATTACTGCGGTAGCTATCTATTTTTCAAAATCCTGACACCGTTGGGACTCGAATCCTAGGACATCCCGGGAAGAGGCCCTGCCGAAAAAACTGGTACACCTGACTAATATCGTGTAGGTCCCCCGCGAGCATGCATCACACGGACACCAAGCTCGTGGGTATAAACTGAGGCCGCGGATTATGAATCGATGTCGCGGTAATTCAAATCGATAAAAAGCTAGGTAAACAATAAATCGTTGGAGATAAAAAGTTTTTACAGCAATTATTGGCTAGATAGCGAGTCCAAAATAATCACAAAGCTATCCTAAACGTCAATTTAGTAGTACATAAATAAGGGGCTATAAAATCGTAATTAAATAAAAGGTTTGAGACAATATGGATATTGTGGTGAGTTTTCGTTGGCATTTCCAATGAAATAATTATATGCGTCATCATTGCCAACAATATGGTTTGAAACCAGTCCACAACCTGCGCTTAGATACGATCTATTAACCCTACTGCTAGTAGACCGCCATTTCATCTAGAAACACGCAGTGTTACTAGGTAGTCGTGCAAGTGAATTTTCATTATGATAAAGTCGCAATGCCTTTATTCATTAATTTACAAATGTTTACTACTACTACTTAATTTTTCTGTTTCTTATAGGTCTCCTAGGAGCACCTTGTAATGCAACAACTCATGTGTGTCACAAAGACGACGACGGTGCCAATCAAACTCTTCAATGTCACAATGGGATATGTCAATGCAAAGATATATTCTTGCTGGAGGATGGAAAGTGTAAGAAAAAAATAGGTATGTAATGTAGACGTCAGTTCATGATTGCGTTTAACGATTGTGTTCTAATAATTATTGTTCAGATGAACTTTTTTTAAATTTGCGTCTTCATATATGCAACGCGTCTCCAAGACCCATGGGTGGGGTTAAGTGCATTGCGCTTGGAGTAATTCTCTGTCATTTGATGTCACGCCTCGTCGCAGTCAATGTCAAGAGTTCGCGCCTCCTACCGTGCGCTCCTGCGTCACTTCTCAGCAGTCAGAATTGCGAAGAAATTAGGATTGGGTGGGGTTTTGGACACAAGTCTTTATGAAACAGCCATACTCATTTTGTTGGAACAAATTTCATATGAGTTTCTCCGGGGATCGACAGGTATCGAACCCTAGCCTCCTTGATGAAAGGCGAGCGACTTCGCTCTGAAGCCACGAGATGACTCTTATCGCCTTTTATTATCTCGTATTCGGCTAAAATTTCTCTTGACAATTTCCCGTAGTCTGAATGAGGCTCCATCCACAAATAATATTGTACAAATACAGATTCTATTAATGGCAGAAGTTCTGAACCTGAATATCTGCCTTTGTTAGACGAAAAAAATAGTATAATAATGATATTCATGTTGTAATTAACATGTTAATAATTAATATAGATATTATTAATTCATGTACATTTAATATTTGCCCGAGTATTTTGTGAAGTGAAACATACATTGGAAGCCTTGCAGAAGTTTGTCCTCCTTCAGGATGATGGATTAGAATGTCTAAAATATTAGGTTTTTTTATCTAGACAGATTGTTCTCATGTATATGTTTTTATATTTATTCATTTTTACACTTTCTTGAAACTGGGGTGATTTTATTTGTATTTTTTTATTTTCGCTTCTTCAATATTTTGTTTAGAAGGCGAGAGATATTATTGAAACCTGCAAATCATTCCTTGAAGTTGTATATGATTATTTAGATTTATGGATATTTGTCACTAATAAATGATTTATGTACATCGTATTTTATGGAGAATCAATTTTGATGCGTAAAGTTAAACGTAATTTCATTAGTAAGTTTTCAGTTTTCTTTACCTGATGGTGAATTTCCCCACGCGTTTTCAGATGTTCTCGGCGCAAAGTGTTCACCTGACACAGAAATATGTTATGCAGATTCCGAAGGTAAAAGGAGGCAGTGTAGTGACGGAACTTGCCAATGCAAGAGTTCTTTTGTGAATGAAAATGGAATATGTAAACAGAAAATTAGTAAGTAAAACTTATCCACCTATATGTAAACCTCTTACTCGTAGATAATAATATAAAGTGCCAGTTAAAAACTGCAAAATGTTATTGGATTTTGTACCTAGGGATGTTTGAGTTCACTGATCGGGTTTATATTATGTTATTACACAATATATTATACTTTCATTACACATGGATTTATTATAGAGGTATAGGAAATCACGTTAACATGTTACTAATGCTAGGGAATTACTCACAAACTATGAATCAAATATATTCAACAGCAAAACTGTAAACTTTTGTAGATTTTACTCTCTCCTAACGTCGCTGGTTTCAACCTTGTACGAATGCAATAAAGCTACATTATAAACGAATTCACTCCCTATATTCGTATGATAGTATTATATATTTATAAGAGAATCAGACCATTATCTTGCGAAACTACTTTCTTGTGATGCCTCAGATTTTTAATATCTGAGCGATTAATAAAAGGTGGTCGGCTGTTTCGTTTACCTCTATCTCCCCACGATTCTCTCGCTGCAATTGGCTGAATGTGAGATGATGCAATCATTAGTTCCGTAAAATATAATGCGTCATTATTTGTGCCGTAAAATGCCCAAATATGAACGATTACTTGCAACAGAAAAGGTCGTTTATAATGATGGCATTCAAACAATAAATTTACAGGCGGCCATGCAATCCGCAACCCACTTTGTTTCAATAAACGTTAACATAACTTAAGAGGTGGTCTGAGATTCTGTAAACCCGAACAGTCAGGGGAGGTCCTAAATAAGTGTGTTAAGCTGTCCCTACAAAATAAACGTAGTGCATTTGTGATGATTTATCCGTTCTCTGTAGCCCATTACGTAGCACGAAAAGCCAGAAATATGAAAAATAGAGAAATCTATGGAAAATTACATCGACAACTTAATCTTTGTGTAATTATTATATCACGGGTGTAAGTAATTATATTCGCAAACTTTCTTTGCCTATTAGACAATTTATCCATGTACAGTACCGAGATCTTAAACAAGCTTCGCTGTTTGAATTTTTTTTTTGTAATGAGTTTTTCCCTTTCAAAACGATAATGTACAAAAACAATATGTTCGCTCAGGACCGCTTATTTACTGTCACTCGGATCCGCCTAACCAGTATGTTACACACACTAGCTACAAACTAGTTGCTCTTACGGTATTACAAACTGTTTTAATTACAAATTGCAGGTCTTCTGGGAGCCCCATGCAATGCAACTGCTGATATTTGCTTCTTTAAAGAAGATGGTAATCAGCAGAAGACACACTGCAAAGACGGAGTTTGCCAGTGCAAAGCAGAATTTGCTCTTACTGATAAAAAATGTCAGAAATTAAAAAGTGGAAGTATGTACTATGTTTAAAAATCATTTTACTTCATTCAATTTTCCTTCATTGAGGCTTACTTGCCGATTGAGTCTGAATTTTGCACCACTGAAGAGACATACTGTTGAATGTTATTATTTATTCTACGATTAATTCAAAGCTTCAAATGTTCAACTCTTCCCAAAACACGAATGATTAACTCCCCCGAAGACAAAAAAGCAAATTTACTATTAAGCTATAAACCCCAAAAGTGGTTTTCTCGCATAGTAGCTAAGCAAATGTAATTTACAACAAGCTTTTCATTTTAATTGAAAGTAAATAAACGTGCAGGCAAAAATATGTTAATCTTACTTCGAAATATTCTGTCTTAAAACAAAACAAAAAAACACTTTCTTCTCATCTACATGTATATCTCATTTCAAAATGTTCAAAGTTTAGGGTTCTGCAAATGGAACATGAGGGTGTCTGCAAGGGGATCTAAAAAAACCTTTATATGATCCCTGAAATAATCGAGCATTCTTTCTGCGCAATATATACGATATACTCGTACGTAATCTGCCCTACTTGTACGGTAGATAATAGATAAATAGTGTGCGTCTCTCATTTTCGTACGTCCCGATAGTGAAAAGATCTTTATAATTTTTTCTCATACTTAAGCTAATATTTTCTACAATTGCTACAATTGTGAAAAAAGTATTTTCTTTTCCAGATAACCATGCCGAAACGCGATTCATCGGGCGAATCGCATGGATACCCTTAATAGCAGTGATCTCGGTGATGCGGTGAAGAATGCATGACAATGTGAGAGCATTTCATGACAGTCCGGAGAGAAAATTCGGATACTTCGGAAATAGGCCTAAGCATATTTAAGACTTATATTAAGTTTCGAGGTATTAATAGGTATTGCTCAATCTGATCAATAAAAAAGTCAACTTATTTCCCGCATTTTTATTTACTTTAAATTTGTTAAATCTTCTGATTTTGAGGCGCCTACCTTGGTTCGTATATCAGTGTGATATTAAATCACAATTTGGCTCACATGTGGAATTTAATTGGAGCACAAAGTAACTGAATCGTTTATTTTTAAAATCCCTTAAGTCAGTTTCTTTTGCATTTCGCTTTATGTGACAAAACAGACGCTGCAAGATAGATGCATCGTTACATGTGTATATCACGTAAATCAGATGAACAGAATGGCCGTGAGAGCAATGCAAAGTTTTGGTTTGGTTTTGATATTCTGTACATTATTGAATTGCGATGTATATGTGACTATTTATGTGACTATCTATGTATGTACACTGTGTGTATGATAGATTTTTGAGAGAATTTGGGATTGGTTAAAAGGGATATTCAATACGGAAATATTCCTATGTGCTATCATTGAAAAATATATTTAAAGTAACTGTTTCTGTCATATTTGATGTCACGTTTGAGGTAGATGCATATTGGAATTTCACATAATATTGTAATTAATGTGTTAAATTACAAACTGAATCTGCAATATGTATTCATTTACATGTTCAGGTAAAAAATTCCTTATGAGTTTTTAAAATCCCGTATTTCATAAACTTTTAAAGAAGTCTAGCGACTATTGTACCATTGATGCAAGTTGTGTAATGTCTCCATAGCATACTAAATCAATATTTATATTATGAGAATTACAAAAAAAAACCAGAAAAATTATCTTTGTTCTTCATTATTCAGTTATTTGTTTAATCACAACTACATTTACATTTCAACAACTTACATTTCCTGATCTCCTGATAACGGATTCCATTATAGACGTTGTGTTCCTATATTGTCATAGCAGACAACTTAGCACATCTAAATTATAGCAACATAATTATATTCCAATAAATATTTATTCTACACGAATGTTTCCATTACATTATTTCAAATCGCGTATTTTATATAAATTAATAATTGTGGTAATTAATATGATAGATTTATATTTCATATAAATGTAATTATTTTAAATGTACCTCATGTCGTTAACGTTTACAGTACGAACATATATTTTACATAATATTACATTTTTAAACACAAGTGTTTCAAATGGATTCTTATGGAGTATTTCGAAAACTCGAAAGTTTGCTGTGAAAATGAGCTCAAATTTGTAGATTTTCTGAAACACTGAAAGAAAATTTTCACAAGAACGGCCCCAAATGTTCAAATGAAAATTTGAACAAAGGACCATGTGTTCTCCTTTTACCATATTCTTAGTGTTATTTCAAATCTACTATTAGGGGAAACAATAATTTTGAAATATAGTGCAGATAGACAACAGTTGGAAAGAGGGTGAGTTGTCACAGTTTACTAACGCGGAGGTTAGGATCTTTTGGGATATGAGAAAGATTAACACCCAGACACAAAATCAGGTAACAGAGTGCATTTATTCTCTCCAGAATATGACCACATATAAAAGCACCGAGTGAAATACAAAGACCAGATAGCAAATAATACAAAAAATATACCTTTACAGATGCTCGTGCACGGTAATTACTGCTCAACTAGCGGCGTTTGAAAGTAACAAAAACGTTAAATTCCTTAATTTGATTACTACAACACAATAAATTCCTTACTTGTACACAAATATTTGATTCCGATGATCGCAACAAATTATCAAATGACTTATCCAATTACCACTATTCACAGTTAATTTTCTCGGCAAGATTACACAGAAATGATAAATGATTTACGCTTCTATTTACAATAATGTTTCTTTCGTAAACATAACACATGAATGAACTGTATTACCGGCTCACAAGGTTCTTTCCGTTATTTTGCCGTGATCTAGTTTGTACGACAATCTGCGTGATTAAGCACTTCGGGATTGTAGCCTTTCCGCTTCTGCACTAGCATTCTTGTCTCTGGCTGCTCTCAATTTCCGTTACAAATTTATCACATGCGGTAGCGCGCACAGTTCGCGGTTTGAACACCTCGCTTCTTCGCCACCGAGTCTGACCTTGTCCCAGATTCGGCTGCCATCGCTCTACTCGTCCGTCCAGATGTCCTCGACCTTGCTCCACCGCTGTCGCCCAGGTCTTCCTTCCCTCGGAATCGGCGCGTACGATTGTTGTTTGCCCTCCGGCTCCTCTTTTCCTTCAAGGAGGGTATTCAAATGTAATAATTATGTTAAAAAATACAATAATTTAGACATTTGGCTAGTTGGAAAATCTATACCGCATGAAATACACAAGTTAAATAAACTACTTATTTCAATCGTTAATTTAACACAGATGTGCTTCGTTACTTTTAATTCCCTTTAGCAAATAGAAATGGTCAGAAAACAAAAGTTATCATTGAATTCCATTTTTTCTATCCTCTCTAAATACAGGTGTTCCATCCACTACGGGCCATCCCCGTAGTTTTAAACAGTTCACGATATCGAAATGCCCTTTTCGCTCAACTATGCAATCATGGGGCAAGTAATAAGCCGTAGAGATATTTTTTGGAATTCTTAGTTTCCGAGAAATTAAATCGTCTTTCATTTTTTTAAATGGAATTATATATTTTTCATGCCAGCAATGGATAGATTATAAAGAGAGGAATCTAATAATGCATTAATCTAATAATGCATGCCGGCCATTCTGACCGGGGTTATCGTGGTTTCCCTCGGTCACAAGGCGAATGCTGGGAGGGTTCCAGAAACCCACGAACACCTCCCACTACCGCACCGAACACTTCCTACCATCATCCTAGTCCCTTCACCACTCATCATCGACCTATAATATAATAATAATTATAGTAATAATAATTATAGTAATAATAATTATAGTAATAATAATTATAGTAATAATAATAATAGTAATAAGCAGAAGAAGAAGAAAGAGAAGAACAAGAAGAAGGAGAAGAAGAAGAATTTAACATCATCCTATCCCCCTAATTGATATTTAAGGCTAACAACCTTGCCTTAACGAAGGGTTGCCGCCGAAGGCTGATCCCCATAATTACACACG